GTGTTGGAGCAGGGAAAAACATAAAACCTGTAGGGCTGCGGCCCTCGAGGACCAGGATTGCCCACCCCTGCTCTAAAACATGTAGGATAAGGGCAAATAAGGACCAGGAGTCCAGTTAGACAGGCATTAAGCAGGTTCTGGGTGTTTTCAATAACGGATATTCAGTAAACACTTAGTTTATCTGTAAACTCTTACGTTGATCCGCTCCTAGCAGGAAGCAGATCAACAGTTTTTGGTTCGGCTTTCTCTTGTTTTTGGGAGCTGAAGCCAGCAGGATCCCGTTGGTGAGAAGATGCCTTGTTGTATTTGCGAGACAAGAGGCTCTATACTAAAGATGTGGGGTTTGAAGTCCCTCCTACTCCCTCTCATGCAATTATGGTGTTACTCGAACTTTCTTTTTAACTTGAAATAACTCATTACAGCTAAATGATTTGGAGAATAAATATTAAAACATGCAGCAGCAGGGCGAAAACTTGGTGAATCAATGAGCCAATGCCTGTTTGCTGTCCAGAATGTCACCGTTCCACAAAAGCCCAATTACAATGAGTAGACTGTTGCATCTCCTATTCTTTATGGTCAGGTACAAGTCATGGATAACTATTTAACAGAACTTCAACAATGACCAAGAAGTCCACTTGTAAAGAGTCTGTGTTGAACCTGCATCTGCTATGTTAACTTTTTTTGTCAGTTTCTTTTATTTATTAATAATCTCTTACTTCCTGGCTCGAACGGAGCAAGCTTATGGACTAAAAATGGCCCACTGGCCACACTGGCCACCAGTTCATAATCACTGGTATGTAGCATCAATGATCTGCTATAATTACTTCTCAWGAGCTTTTCTCACTTTCTGTAACTTTTGAATTCAACAGAGCTTCCACTGGAGCGGGAKAAATGTCTAAGTAGTGACAGTTTAATTAGATCTTACCATTTCAAATTTGTCCCTGTCCTCCCAGGTGGTCCTGCCGGCTTTCTTCGTGTGCCTGTCTCTAATCTTCTCCCTCATCGTCCCGCCGTTCGCCGACTACCCGAGTCTGGAGCTGCAGCCGTGGATGTACGGCCTGCCTCAAACCACCTTTTACAGGTATCATTATTAACAGAACACATGAATGKTGGGTTTGTTTCTGCAAAGTGATACTATTTGCCGCAAATTTGTCTTTACATT